TTTTGGGTTTTTTTTTTTATGTGTGTGGGTTTTTTATTTTCGTTTTTGTTTGTTTTTTTTTTTTTTTTTGGTGCGTGGGTGGGTGGGTTGTGTGTTTTTTTGTTTTTGTTTGTTTGTTTGTGGTTGTTTTTTTTTCTGTGTGTACGTGTGTGTTTTAACGTTTAATTTTTATTTTTTTTTCCCCTTTTCTCCCCTCTCCCAGCCGTGGTGAGCGGCGGCGGCACCGTCGGCGAGTGCCGCTCCCTGTCCGGTCTGGGCACCAAATGCTCGGTGAAGGCGGGCGGGGCGGGCGCGGGGCTGGGGCTGGGCTTGGGCTCTCCCTTCGGCGCCCACGCCGCGGGGTTCAGCGCCCGCAGCGTGGACTGCCTGCCCAAAGTGGGCGGCGGCGGCGGCGGCTTCGGCGCCCGCAGCGCCGTGGGCTGCGTGGGCCGCGAGGTGATGCCGGGCGTGGTGGAAGGAGCGGTGCAGTGCGGGCCGGCCGTGGGCAACCTGGGGGGGGCCGTGGGCAACCTGGGGGGGGCCGTGGGCAACCTGGTGTGCGGCGGGGTGGAGCAGTGCGGGCCGGGCGCGGTGCTGATCCCCGGCGCGGGGCTGTGCGGGGCCGCGGGCAGGTTCGGCACGGCCGTGCGCGTGGTCAGGACGAGCCGGTAGATTAGAGAGCCAAGAACCGGCGTCACAAAACAATAACCAAATAAAACAGTGTTTGTGTCCCCCCACCCCTCTCCCTCGCCCCGACACACCCCAGACAGCTCCAGGCATCACAACCACGCTCTGCCACAAATTCTTTCTTTCTTCTTCTTCTCGTGACCAAAACCCGCCCTCCCCGTCGCGTCCTCGTTGCGGGAAACTCCCCCCTCCTCCCCCTCTTCCCCTTCCAAACCTTCCCCTCCCGCGCCCTCAGCCAGCCGAGGTTTTCATTTCACAGCCCGTCCCTCTCTCCCCACGCGTCACCTTTCGCATCCCGAGTGGCCCCTTCCCTGCCCTCATCCCTTCCCGGCAGGGATTTTCCTTCCTCCCCCTTCCCCTCCAGACGCGGCTCTTGCAAAAGGATGAGAAATTTAATATTTTTTTGGGGTCACCCCGACTTCACAGAGAGAGAAGCCGCGGGTTTAATTGTCCGAGGCGAAGCTGTAATTTAAACTCCTTTAATGAACGAGCAGAAAAGGCGATTTTATTATTTTTTTTTTTTTCCTCCTCCTGTTTCCCGGAGGGTCGGGAACGCTTTACATGCAAATCGGTCCGAGTTGCTACACCGGGTTTGGGCAGAGCAAAGGTTTAATCACGGCCCCGACGAGAGCACCTTATTTTCCTGCGGGTTAATAATGCATGAGCTGTTTTTTTTTTTTTTCCTGCGCGCACCAGACAGGTTTAAAGAGCTTTTTTCATGTGTTAAAGCGGGCGGGGTGGATCGCCCTTCCCCGCCTTTCCGGCTGTACCTTCAATAAAACCGAATGCATAATTCACACGCCGGGGCTTTTTGATTTCCCTCCCCGGGGATCGCGGATTTCCTCGGAAAGGTTTGGGAGGCGGGTTTTAAAAGGGGTTGGGGTGGGGTTTGGAGCTTCAGGAAGAGTTTGGACAAAGGGGTTTGGGTTTTTGGGGGTTTTTTTTGGTGTCTGGTCTCCCTTCCCGACGCGCCTTTGCATCCCTTTGGTCCGTCCAGAGATGAGGAAGCCTGGGAAGGAGGGTGTTGGACACGCGTGGGATGTGAGGGACTCCTGGGATCTCCCACGGTGTCTGTGAACTCACCCTAAAACGGGTGAACCCACCCAAAAACGGGTGAAACAACCCTAAAATGTGTGAACCCACCCACAGCGACATCACAGAATACCCTGAGTGGGAAGGGACCCACGAGGGTCATCCCACCATGTCCCTGAGGGCGTTGTCCAAACACTCCCTGACCTCTGGAATCATGGAATAACCAGAGAAGGGACCCACAACAACATCGTGGAATATCCTGAGTGGGGAGGGACCCACCAGGATCATCCAGTCCAAGCGTCCTGGCCCTGCCCGGGACACCCCAAAAATGCCCCCCACGTGCCCAAGTGTTGTCCCGACCCTCTGGCAGAGACTCCCCCACTTCCCAGCGCCCCTCTGACCCTAAAACAAGGCTGGGTGACACTCGGGGTGACACTCAGGGTGACACAGCTGGAAAACCAACCTGCCCCGCGGCTCCCAAATCCTGAGCCAGCCCCTCTCTCCGAGCCGCCCCTCGGAGCCACCCACGCCCCCCCCACGCCCCGTGCTGGGAGGTTTGGGAGCAGCACGGGGCGTGGGCAGCTTCGTTTTTCCCCTCTTGAAAGGTTCGCCCGGCGCTAATTAATTCACGGTCATTTCTTCCCCCCTCCCCCCCGTGGAAGGTTCGCTAATTAATTCACGGCGCTAATTCACGGTCGTTTATTCCCCTCCCCGTGTCCCGCTTGCCCTCCCAGCCCGTCCCTGCTGACTCAGCGCTCCTTCCCAGGGCTGCAGGACGAGCCCAACCCTCTCCCGGGCTCGGTCCGTGCTCACTGGGGGCGCGGTGAGGTCACCCGTGGGGTGCCCTGTCCCGTTCTGGGTCACCCTCAGCTCAGGAAGGGCTGGGATGGGGCCAGGGAATGGTCTGGAGCGCAATTCCCACCGGGAGAGGGTGAGAGAGATGGGAGAGGAGGAGGAGGAGGCTCAGGGGGGACTCAGCGCTCTCCACAACCCCCCGACAGGATTTTGGAGCCGGGTTGGGGTCGGGCTCTGCTCCAGGAACCGGCAGCGGGGCAGGAAAGGTCTCCAGGCTGTGCCAGGGGAGGTTTGTGGGGTTGGATATCGGGAGGGAATTCCTCCCAGAGAGAGCGCTCAGCCCCTGGAATGTCTGATTCCAGAGGAGGGGGTGGATTCCCTGGCCCTGCAGGTGTGGAAGGACAGGCTGGATGTGGCCTCAGTGCCACGAGTTGGGAACCGCGGCAGGGTCAGAGCAAGGGCTGGACTGGACGGGCTCAGAGGGCTTTTCCAACCTGGCTGATTCTGTGATTCCATGATTCTGTGACCCTGTAATTCCATGATTCTATGATTCCATGATTCTGTGATTCTCTGATTCTGTGATCCTATAATTCTTTGATTACATGATTCTGTGATTCCATGATCCTCTGGTTTTGTGATTCTCTGATTCTGTGACTCTCTGATTCTGTGGTTTTGTGATTCTCTGATTCTCTCTCTTGATTCTCTGACTCTGATTCTGATTCTGTGATTCTCTTATTCTGTGATTTTCTGATTCTCTGATTTTGTGATTCTGCGATTCTCTGATTCCATGACTCTGGGATTCTGTGATCCTGTAATTCTATGACTCCGTGATTCTCTGATTCTGTGATTCCATAATTCTCTGACTTTCTGATTCTGTGATTCTCTGTGATTCTCTGACTCTCTGACTCTCTGATTCCGTGCTGATGACCCCACCCCCGGTCCCGTCCCCCTCACGGAGCGTGGCCCATTCGCGCTCCCCCCCCCTCCCCTGCCCCAGCCGGTGCCTCCCCGCTGATTGATCGGCTGAGATCACGGCGGGGGGGGCAGATCAATAACGAGCAGATCAATAACGAGCAGATCAATAACGAGCCCTCAACACGTGCAGCGATGCCCGGCCTGGGATGGGGGGGTGGGGGGTGGTGAAAACCACGCGGACCAACCCTCAAAACTCACCCAACCTGCAGATGTTGTTTTTTTTTTTTTTTGAACTCCTTCTCTCCCGCGGTTTTCTCCGCTCGGCGCTTCTCCTCATTTCCATGTAAATAAAGAAGCAAGAAACGCCCAGACGGGAACGCTCCCAGCGCCCCGACGGCTCGTAATTCACGCCGATCATCTCCCTCCCTGCCAGGCAATCCCCGCGCTCCAAGCACCAGCCAGGCCCGCGGGGCACCGAAGCAGCCCGGCAGCTCTTCTTGCCTTTTCTGGGAGTGAAACCTTTAATCATCGCCTTTAATCCTCCACTCCCCGGGTGTTGCGAAACCCCGGGATCGCTGCCGCCTGCCCCGGGGGGGGGGGTGTTCATGCAGATCGGGGTGCTTTGGAGAGAGACAAAAAGGCCGGGAGTGCGGTTTTGGGGGCAGAACTGGAGGCCCCAAACCCCGCACGGGGCAGCTCTGGGTGTGCCCCCTTTGTAGATCGAGAAGAGCCCGGGATTGTGGGATCGTGGAATGGTTGGGTGGGAAGGGACGATAAAACCCACCCAGTCCCACCTTCCCCACGGGCAGGGACAATAAAACCCACCCAGTCCCACCTTCCCCACGGGCAGGGACACCTCCCACCAGCCCAGGTTGCTCCAAACCCGGCCTCGGACACTTCCAGGGGAAATCCATCCCAGGGCCTTCCCGCGAGGAATTTACTCTGGATATTTAACTTCAATCCCCCCTGATTCCCTTTGAATCCCATTATCCCCGTCCTGGCACTGCAGTTCTGGAAGCAGAGCCCCCCCCCTCGTAGCCCCCTCAGGTTCTGGAAGGTTCCGGGGGGTCTCCACAGGCTGAGCAGCCCCACCTTCCTCAGCCTCTCCCGTTCACGCGGATCGAGGTGTTTTGGAGAGAAAGAAGTCCAGGAGTGGATTTTTGGGGGGCGTCGGAGGCCAAATCCACTCTGGAAGCGCCCCTTTTATCGACTGGCAGAGCCTGGAATGGTGGAATTGTGGGATGGTTGGGTTGGGAGGGACCTTAAAGCCCGTCCAGTTCCACCTCCCTCCTGTCCCAGCTCGCTCCAACCTGCCCTTGGACACTTCCAGGGATTGGAAATCCTCCGGCAAATCCACCCCGGGGCCTCCCCACCCTCCCGGGGAGGAATTTATTCCGTCCCTTTGACTCCCAATCCCCCATTTTTCCACTTGGAAAAGCGGGAATTCCGGCAGGGCTGATCCCAGCGGGACAGATGGAAACAGATGGAAACCCCCCCAGTCTCCCCAGTCTGGCAGGGCTGATCCCACTGGGACAGATGGAAACAGATGGAAACCCCTCCAGTCTCCCCAGTCCCCCCAGTCTGGCAGGGCTGATCCCACTGGGACAGATGGACCCCCCCCCTCCCCAATCTCCCCCTCCCTTCGGAGCCCCCCAACCCTCCTTTCCCCCACTCCACAAACCACTCCAGGAGGGACAAGGGGGTGTTTTTTTTCCCCTCCCTCGGTCTCTGTGTGTCTCTCACACCTCCCGGCCAGCCCCGAGTGACAATTTGACGTTTCCTCCCCCCCTCCTCCTCCTTTTCTTTTTTGGCAGCCCCGCCTTTAATCCCATCACGTTCGCTCAGCTCCCTCGGCCGCTCCGAACTCGTTTTTCAGCTTCAAGGCCGAATCTTTTCCTTCCCCGGAGCTCAAAGAACC